TACTTTCCTATTCTGAGCCTAATTTATTTTGTATTTCACAAAACCCTTTTCTTCTTTTTCGTCAAACCTTGCCATCATATAAAGCTTTTCTTCTAATCCTTCTTCTTTGAACTCATCATCTATTTCTTTCTCAGCTTCGTCATCCTCAACTTCAATGTCCCTTACTATTACAACCTGTTCTTTAGCTAATGGTGCCTTAGCTAATTTTCAAAATTCGTCTGGAACAACAATTTCTTTATCATCCTATACTAAAGTTATTTTAGACTTATTTTAATCAATAGTCATATTTACTTTGGATAGCCAATTATTTTCTACAATAGCACAATATAAACTAGCGTCAGTTACTACCACATTGATTGGGATTTCAATACCATCAATACTAAATAAAAAGTCAGAAATTTTCCTGATTGCACGTTTACTCTCTTCATGAATATTGACCATATTTACTACTAATGCTCATTCAATTCTTATACCAAGATCATTTAGTAAATGAGTAGTAACAACACTTTCAGAAGAACTACTGTTGACAATTAGTAGAATTACTCGATCATAAACCATAGCATCACAATATAAAGCTGTCAATTTCAAACTAGGTTGGATGTTAACATTGACTTGAACCTTCTTATGATTAATGATTTTTTTCTTTTATAACGATTGAGATAGCTCCTGCCTCATAGATGTTACCGCTCTTAACAATTGCCCATATGTAATATTAGCAGGCTTATCTTTTAAGTTAGCTACAATAGAATACAGAGGCACTAAAAAAGAAATTTGCAGCAAATCCTCTTTAACAGCAATTTTACATCATGTGGTTGGAGCTTTCTTTCGAACCGTCTTTACATTATCTTCTTTTTTTATTTACTTTCAGAGATTCTTCTTTATTTACTTCAAGTGGTTCAGCCAATTTGTCTTTTTCTTGATTTTGAACAATCGGGTCTTGCACTTCTTGATCTTTATGGTCTTGGTGAACTTCCTCCATTTTGATATCAATATTTTTAATACCTCCTGCTTCTTCAAGGTCTATCAAATTTACTGTCTTTTCTTCAGTTTGTCTTTTCTTAAGGATCAGGATATTTATTATAGGCTTAGAACAAATAGGTCTTTTGGCAGATAAAAATAACGACTCACCTTCAAGAATTTCTAAATATGAGGCTTGATTTCTAGACTTATTAAGAATTCCTGGATTATTATTCATTAATACCAATAGTGCTTGAAGAGTTTCCTGAGGATCACCTCTATTAAGGGTAGATTATTATTATTAATACCAGAATTGTTAACAGTTACTGGTGGTTGATTACTTGCTAATGAATTATTACGATTATTTGCCAAATCAGGACAATTTCAACTATAATGTCCAGTATGATCACAAGTGAAACATGTTACAGCAGATGGAGCAAAATTTCCAGATCGAGGTCGAAGTAACTACCTTCGTTGATCTTGAAGTTGGGTTATGAGTTTATTTGATTGAATTCATTAAACTTTTCAAGGCCTTAGCCATCTCATTCGAACTAGCAAAATTAAGGTTTAAAGTACCAGAGAAACTATAGGGAGAATAGAAAATTGTCAGAGTCACATAAGCACTTTGAATAGAATTTTGTTTGCAAGCATTTTCAAATACCTTTGCTCTAGTATATACCTCTTCTAATATATTAGAGGTTAAAGGCGATACAGCTACAAACAATTCTGGTTGAAGTCTATTAATAAACATTTGGGCCTTAGCCATATCAGGATACTGATGCCCATCTGACTCTACTTGTTGAAGCATTTCTTCAATAGCCATATGATATTTGTCTACACTTTCACCTGGCAACTGTTTTCTTTGGGTTAACTGCACGAACCATTTCTCTTCCAACTTAGGGTTCTAAACTTGTTAATAAAATGAGTAGTAAAACTCTGTTGAGGTACCAAAGGGTCATGCTATTGATCAATTATGGTTGCTGGTTTCTTCTTGTAACCTATCATGTTTGGCTGGACTTTTAAGTTTTGAGACAATTACAGAAATCTTCTGGAGTGGTAATATAAGATTGGCCTTGAAGGCTTTGTCAACATCTTCAAGCCAAGTTATAGGGTCTTGATCTTCTTTATAAAATTCAGGATAAGGTATGGTATTAAATTCCTGAGGATTAGCAGGAACATTAACTTGCGGGGGTGACACAGTTTGCATTTGCTGAACCAAAGCAGCGATTTGGTTAGCTAAATTATGTAAAAGGTTATTCGGGTTCAATTGAGCTTGCTGTTGGGGTTGTTGGTTAATAGATATTTCTAATTTGAATCTATAACTTCTTTAACACGAGTATCTTTTTCAATCCACACAATCGGCACCAAATGTTACTATTGTTTTGGGAGAGCTTATAGAACTATCAGCACAATTTAACTCCAATAGTTAACTTATATGTTCTTTGTATAGAACTCAGAGTAATATAATAACAAATAAAGTCAGTTATAATAATAACTTAAGCACGTGAGATTACGTAATTGATCCAAGATCGGAGCACTTAATTATATCTACCGGGAATTAATCAAGTAAATAAATCAAGTTATATAATCATAATTAAATAAATCAGTAATATCGATAGTTAATCAATACAACTGATAATAAGGGTCGATACTTATAAGGTAATATAACAATAAGATTATAATAAAATATATAATACGTTCGTGAAGTGCCTTCACGATTATGATAAGGGAATAAAATAAAAAATAAATAAAACAATAAAATGGTAACTTATATAACATTAATTCGAGAAATCAATTCTTAATACTCCTATATCAAAGATATTGAAGACTAAAGCTTTATTGAAAGGGCGAATAGGTACCCTTTTTATACTTTCGAGATACATAAGAATAAGGCTTTTACATATTCTTGGGTTTATTTCTATTTGTTGGGCCTGACTAGTATCTTCCTCTAGGCTTATCTTTACTAATTTAACCTTTCTTGAACTCTTTACTAAGTGTTGGTACTGGTTGGTACCTTTCGAAAGGCTTTTCTTCTTATATTAACTTTAGCTTACTCCTACACCTTACTATGATAACTAAGCTACAAACAAATAAAATTTATAAAAATAAACAAAGATGATGAATAAAATAAATAATTATACAGATCTAAAATTTCTAAGCCTTCGCCACTACTCAGCTCTAATATACACATTCTCATTACTACCTAGTCACGATTTTTCAAAAAAAAAGCGTGACAATAGTCAAGATTCTAATAGTCAAAATTCTAACAAATCAAAATTCTGACAAGTCAAAATCCTGATAAATCTAATCCCAACAAGTCAAAATTTTGACAAGTCAGAATACTGATAAGTCAAAATACTAACAAGTTAAAATTCCAACAAGTCAAAATTCCAACAAATCAAAATCTAACAAGTCAAAATCCTGACAAGTCAAAATCCTGAATATTTAAACTTCCGACAATTTGTTATACTTTTTAAATTACTGAGAATCTAGAAAGCTAAGAATATAAAATTTAATATAAAGGTAGCTGTATGATATAAATTTATAGTTATATGTATTCTGCATCAAGATTTTTTAGAATTGGTATCAATTTACTGATTAAAAAAAAAGTGAAAAAAAGATTAAAAAAATTATAATTAATTACAAAAAACTAAATTTAAAAAATAAAAAGTGAATAAAAATAAGTTATTATATAAGAGCTGCACAAAAAAAATCTGTAAGTAAAATTTTATTCATTAAAATATTGTATAATTTTGACTAATCAAATTTCAAGATCAGGCTGATTCTGAAATTTGATTGGTTAAAATTATACAATATTTTAACAAATTAAATTTTACTTACAGGTTTTCTTTATGTAGCTCTTATATACTCTCTTAATATTAATTACTAGCTAAATTTTCATATATTAAATAAAGATTAATTAAAATAAAATAAATTTAAGAAATAAAAAGCAAATAAAAATAATTAGATGCTCTTCTAACATTAATTGCTAGCTAAATTTTTATATATTAAACAAATATATTTAAATATTCATATATAATTTAACCATGTAATTAAAAAGTTTTTGCATTTCCTATATAGAACTCATCTGCATTTTCTTGAGTATAATAAATTTCTTTTTTTACATAATTTAATGCTGCAATTTATTTTTGGCAATGACAAGTTTCTTGTTGAGTGTCTTAACATGAACCAATATTAATATTTATAATATTAATGGTACAAAAATTATATAATTAATATTAATATTAATAATAATATTAGGAAATATTAATGTAAAACTATAGTACTATAGTGCTACTCTATATGTAAACACAAGATTGATATAACATGTAAATCAAAACAATCTAGTCTTTACAAAAATAAAGCTCTTAATTAGGTTTAGATTAAAGCTAGAATTAAGGTTAAGTAAGGTATAGCTTAAACTAAAATTTTGCAATGAATTTTTTTTATTAAAACACAAAAGTTGGTTTTTTAATTAAAATTTTAAGATAGAACTAAATTTTTAAAAGTTTATTGCTTTTGTTATACAAAGAGTAATCTGCATATTACACCTAATTTTAAATTTTAATTGGTTACAATACCTAGCATCATAGTACTATAGCACTATAAAATAAAGCCTATAATATTATTATGCTTTTTATTATTTATTCAAGAAATATATTTGGTGGGTACTCACTAATACTATAAAATTGGCTATCTTGAAAATTATATATTAGACATTTGTGATTATTATTAGTTAATTCTCTATTGTTACAAGTTGAGAGTATAAGGTTTTGTCTAGTTTCTTTTAATGAAAGTATGTTATTTAATAGTACAATATTAAGATCAGAATAATCAAGGTACCCAGTAGTTCAAGTTCATTTCTGAGTACTATTTGTTGAGAACCAAAATTTGTTTTTAATAAATTCATAGTTTTTTTAAATATTTAAAAGAACTGATAGTATTGAACTATACAATTCAAATTTTGTTTAATTACAAAAATTTATTTATTAAAGTTGATATTATATATACTTGAATGTGATTCAGAAAACCTTTGAAAACAATAGATGTATTGGTGAAATTCTTAGAAATGTGTTGAGTAATATATACTTTGTATTTATTAATCATATTCTCAACTAACAGTTGGGAATATAGCAGTATCTAACTCAAATTTAATAAGAAGGTTATTATTATTATTATTTTTATTTTTAAAAAAACAAATATAAATTTTTTTCTATAGTATAACAAACTTGTATCCTCAAATTATTTTTATATTGTTTAAGCAGATATAGTTTCTCTGCTGTACCAATACAATAAACTTTAAAAATATTATCTGCCTAATATTTGAATTTAGCATTCACTAAATAATTAGATTTTTTTGTATATTTTAACATTTATTATACTTTGTAATATCAAGCTTTGTTTGTTTTTCTTTTGTTAATAAGTGTCTTAATATTCAGTTAAAAATTTTATAAGTCATAAAGTTATGTTCTTACAAATTTATAAGAGTTAAAAAATATATAATAAAAGCAGTGAAAGTTAATTTGAATATAATGAATAAAAAAAATAATTCTTGACAATAAAGAAATTGTTTTTATAAATATCAATGTAAATATCAAAAATTAATGTATATATTATTAATAATTATTATTGTTATTGATAAAATATGCAATTATTATTATTTCAAAATTCATAAAAATTTTATTCAGAATTATTGTCTAATCATGAGTTTTATATTAATATTGTGTTTTATTAAAATATGTATAATAAATACATACAATATTTAAGTCTAAATAATAATTTTCTAGTCTATAATCTATTTGATACAATATGTATATATAATTTTAAATTTTACCAATTTACTATGCCAAATCTAACTATATTAGTAATTAAATATTAATTTGATGTATATGATTACTTGCTATCTTGACAATAATTCAGGATAAATTCTTAGAATAGTCTATGAATTTTGAAATTAGCTATAAGCAAATAATCTTACTTGTAATTTATTTATTTATTTTCTATTCAGAATATTTTATTTTTTAATACTAACTAAAATTTAAAACTATAATATATAGATAATACTTATTTTATAATTAATTAACAACTTATTTATTAAAAAGTAGCATATATTGCAAAAGATTATATTATTTTATTTCTAATATATTATTTAAAAAGCTTATAAATTGCTTATCTTTATAAAAAGCTCCTATTATTATTTAAGTCTTTTAGAAATAATGAATATATATTTCTTATGCA